CGCACGTATCCGGCCGTAATACAATGATCACTGCAATATACTGTGTAGGCTTAGCTTTATTTGAAGTCTTTTCGTTCAAGGTTGAAATGCAAGAATATTTAACTTTATTTTTTGTTGTTGAATCAAACAAATTAAATCACAGTTACTATTACTGTAAAACAACACCCTGAAAAATATATTACCAGAAAGAGTTAACATACTTTTTAATGTAAATATTACCGACATTTAAAACGTCCATGAAAACTTGTTACCGATTGATTAATATACAACTCGCGTGGAGCATACTGATACTGTTTTACTGAACGTCTTTTAATGCCTCCCAGTGGCACGTTCCCGGACTTACAACGCTAGAAACTGGGTTTCGATACCCGTGGTGGGCAGAGCACAGTTAGCACTATTGTGTCTTTTAATAATTCGTATTTGTGAAGTTTCTACATGAATTAGCGCGCCATCTATTGAAAACAGATGAAAAGTCATTTCCCAAAATTCTTATAATACAGTAGTAAGATAATCGAATTGTTTTTTCTATGAATTTCCAAACTTTCAACTGAAATATATTTTCTTCGGAATTCAGAACATTTATATTTCATAATATGCTTTGGAACTTTCTGGAAACTTCAGTTTCAGCTTATTGTTCAGAAGATGTATGATAATAATTTTGTATATTATTATTCTACCTGCTTATAAATACAATTTAACCACCAGATGTCTCTAGATGTATATTTACATTCATGCATAGTTAAAATGTCTGAACAGTGAAACGTATACTAACTACACAACGTAGAATAATGAACCGCAGGTGTTCTAGGTCAGTGAGGGGGTGGTACGTCGTGCTACCCGATTTACACGCCCATTAAGACGTGTTAAATCACGTTGTATTATGAGATATAGCGATAACAGTACCGTGTTTTCAGTTTTATATAGAAAATTTCATGACAGATTCTTAAGATTCTTCTGATAATTTGTCCACGTCTGTCTGTCTACAGAGGGTGAATACGTTATATAAAATTATTTTGAATATACAAACCAAGTCGAGGTGGAACAGAATGTATCAGAACTACATTTTGACATCGTTTAGCATTTCGTAGTTAGTCTTCTTGCCACCAAAAATTAATCGCTTTTGAGAAAGGCATGTTAAACACCTTTCAGGCGCAAAATATTAATACACTCAAGTCATAAAGATGTGTTAAGATCGGGGATTTATATTTTCCAAGAGGGAGGATATCCATTATACGTAATGGCATTGAATAAGAAGTATCCAAAACAAAATAAATGCTGCAATATTTGTTCAGTTTTTTATATGTCCATGTAATGGACACAACATCTGTAAACTTTTAGTATGGTCATATCCCTGATAGCTATAAATTTTACAAGAATTAAAATCACAATCACAAATTTATAAAATTTAATCCTTACTTTGGCCTACAGATATGTGTATGAAGCTGCCAAAGTGGTGATTAAATTTTATAAATTTGTGATTGTGGTTTTAATTCTTGTTTCATTATTTTAGTAGTAGGATCCCTATTTCATTTTTAAAATTCATAATTTTTAATAGTCTTTTTTTGTTTACTTTTATGTTATACCTGTATAAAGTATATACTTTTCCTTTAGAAACTGTCGCGTGTCTATCCATCTATATGTAGCGCCATCTGCTGGGTTGAAAAGATATTTAAGTACGTGCATGATATGTTTACCATTTATAAACAAATCTGTATATATTTATCGGCATATCAAAAGCGGATACCCACAGATCAGTCAAGTAAGCTGGAGAAACCCTGTAGCACAGCCCGAACTGTGTACGGGCTAGCCCCACTGACGTGATCAGGTAGGTAGTAGACGAAGATGTTGCTGTTTTAAAAATAATTGAATTGTTATACCGGAAACGTTAGTGGCCTTCTTAGTGTATATGCGCATAATATATCATAACCAATACTTTGAATGGTTGGTTTTTCGCTTAGGAATTCAATAAGTTGGTTTATCTGAGCGTGAATTATTTGGAAGCCTTGTCGATCCGTACTAAAATGGCCCAGGTGGTTAGGGGGCGCTTGACTCGCAATCTTCGGGTCGCGGGTTCGAATCCCCGTCAAACCGAACATGTTCGCCCTTTCAGCCGTGAGAGCGTTATAATGTGACGATCAATCCCACTATTCGATGTTATTACTCATCATGATCTCTACCTACCTACCATCAAACCATGCGCAACCGGAAGAATTTTAAAAAGACAAACTTGCTTGTCGCGACTGAAAGTGCCGTCGTTTCGTACAAGTTGCTTGTCGATCGGTGTGCAACGGGCGAGATATCAGCGTGACAGACGGATGGTTTTAGTAGATATACTAGTGTCCTTTTCGGTACGAAAAAAAGAATCATTGAGACCCCAAACGGAAGAGCTCTGTGAAAAAATTAAAGTGACAAAGTTCATTTTTTTTCTTGTCAGGATAAGTCACTTACTTACTTAAATGAAAATTCGTTGAAATAGTGAAATATTGGTTCACTCTGTAAACACGTATATAGCGATTTAGGCGGCTTTATAAGTACAATAAGCTTTGCTCAGTCAATTCTCTAAAATATTCATTGTTAATATTCAGATATTTAAAAGTGGTTTTAAACGGGTGATTTTTATGGCCGCCATTTCGTTTCATCACTATTCCTACTTTCTTACTTAATGATAATTCATTAATATTAGTGCAGTTATGGCACCCGAACTCTTGATATTATGGAAAAACCTTCGTCGGAGTTGGATATGGCAGATATAATTTGTTTTGGTTGACATGTTATTATGAATTATTCTTTAATTTCATTGTTAAGTTAATACAGTGTTTAATTTCGAAACCAGTTCCAGCAAAGAGGGTAAACTGGTACTTTAAATGAAAGTGGTTCAAACAAGTGAAAAAACAAAACAATATACAGAATGTTAGATTGATAAATATGCTCTGTCTTTTCAATAATTTTATAGAATATTCCTTTAATTTTGCTACTTGTATACAGATAAACTCGTCGACATAACGTGCATACGTTATGTCAGTCCTCGACTTTTTGCTTCATGCCAGAAAATACGACTAATACATTTACTAACACAATTTAAGCATATTTTAGTTCTTCCAAAATAGTATAAAATTACATAAATTGATAACTGACAACTATTATGTCGCAACGACAACGTTGATTGATGATGAATTATAACAATTACACAAGCCTATATTATAGGTAGATTATAGAGTTGAGGTTGTGGGGTCATCCAAAAATTCTCAAACTCTTAAATTGGGGGGGTGCTGAATGAAAAAGAAATAATTTGGGATCCATTTCTTTGCTCTATATAGTTTTAGGAAGTTAGCTAAGATATTCTGATAAGATAAGGTTTCTATTCAAAGCATCGTATTATAATTAGCTAATCTTTTTTTTTTCAGTGTAGACGGTTTTTAAAAATTTATCTTCTAACGAGGTATTCTCCAAACAGTTTATTTTTAAGTAAATTAAATATAATCATCTATTATTTACACTTGCTTTATAAAATACAGGTGTTTACTATGCATTTTTTATTATGCAATGTGTTGTATTAGACTACACACATTTATAATGTTTGTAAGTAAGTTTTGTTTGTAGCCACGTCAACAGTGTAATGAATTTGTTACATATTTATTTTAATGTCAACGTTTGTCTGAATTGAGCTTATATTTAAAAACGTACTTAGCTTGTAGTGTTAGTTACGTACTGCGAAACTCCCGCCAATTCTCCAAGGTTGTAGAATATTCGTGAACGTAAGAATCAACAATATATCCATTTCCGTAACCTGTTAAAGATAACTCAGTATTGTTGTCGGAATTTTCAAGAAAATCTTTCTCGCGCCTATAAAAAAACAGTCAAGGCGACGCGCTAAAAAAAAAAGAGAGAGCTTTAAAAATTGGCTAAGAACCTGGTATAACCGTGTACGCTATAAATCGTGTTTTTTCTAACCCTTATCAACCGGAAAATTTACGACATTTGACTAGGAACAGTTATAAATTACCGAACGTCCGTGGATTCTCATCGGACGTTAGTATTTTTCCGAAAGTATTACTGAATTCTCATTGGACATTAGTGGGTTTATGAAAATATTATCTTACTTCGACGGTCCAACAATTCAGTGTCTGACAAACCTTGCTAGCTTCTCGGCAATTGTACGTACATCAACTTCAAGTTAACATGCTGGATATCAAGGAGACTCTGAACTAGAAAGAAGATTCTATGTTGTTTGTAAGTTAGTGAAATTGTTGTTTATAACACTTTGTTTGTGGTAATTATATATGTACTGTTGTGTATATATATATTAAAAAGTATTTGTGTGAAAAACGAAAACGGTGTGTGTCAATCTTATTGGCAAATAGCGTAAATTAACTAAAATATCCGCTTCGGACTATTTCAAATTCAAAATACGTAACAACAGAAATGAACAGTAAAAAACTGAAAACTTGATTTGTATTACATTAGTATTTGCGTATAATAAAATTGTTTGTCGTTTTTGTGTTATTTAGGTATTAGAGCATAATTACCATTAATTATTAATATACTAGTCCCTCGATGGATCAGAGGTAAGTTAGGTGAATTATAACTCAAAAATCCATTGTTCGAACAGTGTGTAGATAGCCCATTCTAGTTTCCGCTAAAAAACAAACAAAACAAAAATAACATTATTGTTAACAATTAAGAAATGTCTTTGGCTGAGATGCCCACCATTCTTGGACGTCTTTTTTCTTTTTGACACAATTGTACATCAGAATTATTACAAAAGAAAATTTGTGTCAATGGTCGTCATTAAGAAAAGCAAGTTAGATAAGAAAATAATAAATAAAAAGTCCAAATACCCGATAACGCGGGTACTTTTGCAAGGTAAACTTTCCTAAAGCATTCCAGTTGTTGGATATACTCTTTCTCAGTTGGTTTAAGGTCATTAATATTCTTTAAAGCGGGCGAATTATAATGGATTTTGATATAATGTAAATCTAGACCTGTTTTTGTTTCAATAGATAAATTTATTTATTCGTCGAGAATTGTGGAACCTGTCAGTTTTACAGAAGACAGCTAGAAATACTACTGTGTATCATTATTACAGTTTACAGGTATGTTATTTTTGTGATATGATTGTCACATTGTGTTAAATTGTTTGTCTGAGTTTATCCAAAACTTTTCGAATTTATGGATTATTTATTTATTTTCCACATTTTTAAATGTTACTCAAGTGTGAAATTTACAGTAAAAAACAACAGATGGCACTAGTCGCGATTGACAGCTGGGAAAACACGGAGAATAATACAACAATTACAATAATATTGTACTTATCTTGTGATACTGGCACAGTTCGTGAATAATGCCTTAAGAGGTTTGAAGCTATATTTCAAATATTCCTTTTATTTTTTACATCAACAATAAAAGTAATTAACTTAAGAAAGAAATATATTCTTTATAACTGTTTAATAAGATGAGACTATAGTAGCAACTGTAGGCCATCGTTTGTAAATGGGCGATGGTACAGAATGTAAATGTACAAAAGTTACTCGTTAAATTAGGTCAATTTTTTTCTTGCACTGCTACACTGTTTTTTGAAGATAAAACGTATTATGTGTCCAGGACGAAAACTGAGCAGATGGATAACAATTTCTGATTCTTTGGTAGGGTACGACTTTTTTCGTATCAGTCTGTAAAACTAAAATATGTAAACATGCTAATTGTGCTAAGACAGGAAAAATTAACGTCTTAAAACGTGTGGAGTTGTGTGATCTATTGAAAACGGACGGTACTTGCAATGTTTTACGCCTCTTAGTATATCTTATTATTGAAATATCCATTATATTATAATCAAGTTAGACTTTGAATATTCTATTTTGACATTCAGGTTTTCATTCGCACCCATTCCTTTTGTATCTTGTGACCAAATTTTTCACTTTATGCTCATGGAAGTTCTAATTCTATGACTAACAAGGCTTAGGCTAGTCCTACTGAAATAATTTCCCCACATTGTTTTATGGCGGAGAAAAAAATTCCTACCTTATTACTTAATGTTTAGAAATTATTGAAAAATATTAGTTATTCCATTAATTCAAAATACGAATTGGGAAGAAATAGGTGATAAAATAATTAGATTAGGGTTGGGTTATTTTATGGAAATACTAATGTTACAATTTGCCAAAAAAAACATTTCAGAAATTAAATGTTCTTAAAAAATATTCTATGCCAGACACAGTAGACATCAACTCTCAAGTTTTTTAATGTAACCTGGATTTTTACTTAAATTTCAGTTTCTTTAACCCTTTATTGTATGGATGCTATTGTTTTTTTTTTTTAAATGCAAATACTTTATGTAAAATACAATTGTTGATGACTATTTTCAGTTACTTGATATTAAGCTTACTGTACATTAGTAATTTATTATTAAATTCACTAGCAAAAAAATAATTATTGAATGTTCAGAAATTTGTACATGCAATAATGTGTGTTTCACTGGTATTAACTATTTCATTTTGGTAATTTATGGAAAATAAGATAAACATATTCGGTAAGATGCATGTACCCACAATTCTTACTGTATGTGTAAGCCAGTGATCTAAATAATGTCAGGGTAAATTGACTTACAACATATGTATGATTTCAAAATCTTGTCCCATGCAGACAACAAAAGTCTATGCTTACTATTGTTTTTGTATTTTATCTTTAGTTGTTTTTTCAAGAAGTCTTATTTCACATTTCTGAGTAAGTGTAAATAACTTTCTTAGTAAGATGATCAGCAAGCTAATAACTTAACACATTCTTAGATTTGTTGAAGTACCTTAAATTTACATAAAAGGTATTTTATTTCCAGATTAAGTAAAATTTGTGGTGATACTTGGCCACTTCTAAAATGCAGCAGTCCTCCCTGCTGGTCAGTCTTCCAGAGCCTGTTCTATACCACATCTGTTCTCTTCTTATTTCACCTTTTGATCTTTTACACTTTGGATCGACTTGTAAACGACTACGGAGCATCTCCTCACCACCAAGCCTCTGGCTCAGACATGTGTTTTCATGGTGTGAAGGTTTGTGGCAGTGGATAGAAATACCAGAAGCGAGTCATCCTCGAGATTGGTTGATTGAACTCTTTCGTTCTTGTTGCTCAAAGCACCCCAAAACCCTACACTCGTGCCATTTAGGGTCAGGGGAAGAATGGATACGTACAGAGTCTAAGCAGTTTCGTTGTATGCTTGGCATGCTCCGTTACACTTATGCTGATAGAGATGAACGATACAATCCCACGGTGATGTACCGCAGATGGATTTTTGACATTGGGCTTTATCATCGTATCAAACCTCATATTAACTTTACCAGCGAAAACTTTGCTCTTGAAGATGCTGCACTGAAAGAGCTTGTTGAATTGGGACAGGCCAAGGAACGAGACCTAAGGTTGGAAGAGCCACGATTTTCCAATTTATGTATAAAGTACTACATCAAGCGAATAAAATCAAGTCGTGTTGATTGGTATGAGGATTTGTTCTCTTCTGGGCCTCGTGGTAGCCTCTGTCCATTATTGTTGTGTCCATCAGAAGTGGGATACACGTCCGAAATGACTGGAACAGCTGGAGTAGCAACCTTGGTGTCAATAGTACTAGCAAAATACCTCTCTCCTCATTGTTTTGATGGCAAAATCACTTTACCTCAAATGGTGCATATGATTCAGAAAGCATGTTGTAGCCTTAAAATAAACTTGGAACAACTTTTACCGGTTCAAAGACAACAGTGGAAATCCCAGCCCTTAGCAAATTCTGTGACGAGTATGGCTTTTCAAGGTTTGCCCTCCTTAGATACCTGGCAAGTAGATTTAGATGAGCTTCAAATCAATTTGCACTGGAAGGAAATCATGCTACAGTGTTCTCGGTACTTAGAAGAGAACAAATGGCTTGATAGTATTGTTGACAACATTAGAGTCAAATGGCGACATGCACTTTTGGAGGAAATTAGAAAAGTACTTGAAGGAGGTGAAAAAATGCCACGAACTGTTACTCGTATTAATCTGACCGATTGTGATCTGATTGGAGGAGACAATCGTAGACAAGAAATGGCGGCAGCCGCATTCATATCAGACATTGGAGTGTTGGTTACTTGGCAATTGGTGGGAAAAATTAATTTTTGATTGGTAGTTAATTCCATTGTTGAAGAAGAAAAAATCAGTATACAGTACAGTTATTCATTATTAATAATAGATTTATATATATATTGCATTTTATTGAATTGAATATGAATTTAAATATTACTAGTCTTCAGCTGTCAAAGTTTAAAGTTTGTATTACATGTCAAGAAGTATATTCTTTCCCTGTCAGAAAATTCTAATAATTTCTGTTTCATACACCTTGTATTATTCTTGATTAAGCTGGTTCTAGTATGTTCTTGCTTCAAGGTACCTCAGACATCATAGCTTTTCTTTAGAAACATCTACACGAGACTGATTCACATCCTCTCTGACCTGACCCCCCCTCCCCCCCAGTAGTACAGCGGTATGTTTGCAGACTTATACTGCTAGAAACCTGGTTTTGATACGCGGTCAGAGCACAGATAGCCCTTTGTGCTTAACAACTGTCCTGATTCATCACTGGAGTACCTATTTCTGATTATCAGGCTTATTGGAACTCTCTTCTCTATACTTTTCATGATCTTGTATCAAGCACCTTCTGTTTTTGTCATCTGGCTCCTCGAAGTTTTTTTTTTATCAAACTGTTTTGGAATAGTTTGTGAGTTTAGTGCACAGCATTACTGTTTCCCTTCTACAAGCTCTGGAACAGAAACTTTTTTCTCGTAATCAGGATGTTTGGTTTGTACTTCCATTTTATTTTAATTCGTTAATCCTTCTGTACTCTACCTGTCACTGAAGCTTTCTTTTTTTATCAGGTTGTAGAGCCTGTTTGAAAAAAGGATGTTTTTTCTCTTTTTAACTGTATATATAATTAGCAGTTGTTTTGTACTTCTTCAAAATCTGGTTTAAACAGTTTACTATGAAATGTTATTTTTAATCTTGGCAACTGAAGTCTGATTTTGAGTATACTGCCAGAAGTACTTCTCAGGAATTTTTAATCTGCTGTATATTGTTTCCTCAGCCAGTTTTTAGCTGTTTTATAGTTCCATATACCTTATTTTAAAGTAGTGTAGTACTTTTTTAAATATTTTTTTATCTATTTTATTTCATTTAAGCACTGATAATGTCTTGTTTTTGTCATTTATGTTAATATTAAGCTTTTTTTAATATGATAAGGTAGTTATAATTTTGAAAGCTCACTTTTATATGGAAAAAATGACCATTTTATGCATAATGTGTTCCAAAACAGAGACTATATTTTATTGTTAAGTTTTTGTAAGTGTGCATTTTGTGAACTCGGGTGATTAATCTGACACGCGTGGTACAGTATATATATATATTTTATATAAACAAACAAAGTAGTCATTTGTAAGCACAAAATAATGTCTAACAATTGAAAAAGTAAATTTTATATGTTACTTTTAAAGTTATCAGAAGTGTTCTTTAACCTATGAACAAAGTTTTTTTCTTGTGTAATCTAAGAATAATTATGCAGTAATTAAAAAGAATGCTAAACAAATTTATGCATGAGGGTAATTGTATTTTATAAATATTCACACTGGGAATAAAAGAACGTGTTTTCTAACACTTTAAGTATGTGATGGGAGTAATTACATAACTGACTGATGTTTTGAGGCCGTTTATACTGAAATTATCCAACACCAAACCCTTAGTTAAGAGGGATTATGCATAGTTTTTTGTATGGTGCCTGTTGTATAACATGGAAAAAACATGTTAACACTTCTACAGTGTCAGCAAAATGAAAACTATTGTTTTACTTGAACAATTTGATGATATTTCTGATGACTTTGAGGAAGAACTGTTAAATGTTTCATCTTAAACAACTTGATTGACTGCATTTAAAAGAAGTGCTGATATTAGGAGGTATATAGCCAGTCATTACTATGTTTGCTTGGTTAGTATGAAATAATAATGGCAACTTGAGGCTTAGTTTGTTTGTTTCAGAAAACATGTTGACTTCTGGTTTTTGGTCTCAATGTGCAGAGGCGGAATCAAGCTATTATGTGCGACCCATTATTTCACTAAATTATAATTTTTGACATTTACCCCGGTGAAGAAAAAGCACTCGGTTTACTGATGCTTTTCAATATCTTTAAAATGCAGATGTACATATGGCCAATAAGCAACAATTCTAAGTTTGGTTTGGAATTTCGTGCAAAGCTACGTCAGGTCTATCTGCACTAACCATTCCTGAGTTAATAGTGATAGACTAGAGGGAAGGTAGGTAGTCAACACCATCCACTGCCAAAATACAGCTTAAATACAGGTAAAAAGTACGGGAAGGTAGGTAGTCAACACCATCCACTGCCAACTCTTGGGTTACCCTTTTACCAAAGCATAGGTCTCCCAAGTGGAACAGTGGTAAGCCTTCGGATTTACAATGCTAAAATTGGGGGTTCGATTCCCCTCGGTGAACACGGCAGATACCCCAATGTGGCTTTGCTATAAGAAAACACACACACACACACCAATGACTAGTAGAACTGACTAAAAGGACAAGCATGTCTGATGACAGATATTTGAGCCCACAACCATCAGATTGAGAGTTAGCACCCTTAACCCCCCCCCCCCCCCCCCCACACACCCACAATAAAAAATAAATAAAAAAAAAAAAAAAAAAAAAAAAAAAAAAA